CAAGTTCCCCACCAGTGTGAACAATCCTAATTCTAGAAGGAAACTACTCCACGGGAGGAGGGCTGTTAAACACTGGAAAAGCCTACCATTGGAACGGTAAGATTGCCTGCCTCCGAGTTGTAGAGATCCATGCTATCTGGGGGAAATTGGAACAAATCTGCTTGGAGGCAGGGGGCTGGCCTATGGCCTCTGGAATGCTTACCATGATGCGCTTGGTTCCTCTATCTGTGTCTAAGTGTGCATGGCCTGGCGACAGTTGTCTGTGTTCACTTGGGTCCACACCTCCCTCTTCGTGTGAAGACGTGTGTATACACAAGTCTATCATTATTTTCCCCCTCCCCCCAGTAGCAGCCGTGTCACTGACAGCCCCTCTCCAGAGTCTTTGCTGGGAAATGTATCATACAGCACAGTACGCCCCTCATAAAAATACAGTAAGTGGCCCTGCAAGCGGTCAGCACAGTAATGACTCCGACCTAGTGGTGTTCTTGGAGGGGCCTCTTCGGAAGCAAAGCTGAGAAGACAGAACTGAAATCTTTGGGGTAATTAGGTTTCTGGTGTGCAGAAACCTCTTAAATCATTGAGTCAGAAAGGATCTGGTCTTGGAATCATACATCAGGCCAGGCTGAGTATGCTCAGTAAGTATGCTCAGTATGAGCTCCCAGTAAGCAGGCGGTTGGCCATGTGGCAGCACCTCTTCATGTTTCTGCATCGTAGCTCCCCCTCCACGGAGACCCCCCTGACCCACATAAGAACACAGTTGTTACTTAGGAGGCACAGGGAGGCTGAGCTAGGGAGCTGATCTTCATGCCTTAGGGGCCGGGCCCTGCAAGCTTAATAGATGGTCTTTTGTCTGGAGGGTGCATAGATGAGGCGTTCGTGGAGTAGAAGGATGGCTGGGATAACTGAACAAAAATTTCTTTCACCTTGTGGGTCCTTGTCAGGGACCTAAAGGAAAACTTTCAACCCACTTCCTTCTAATTCTCAAACCGCCCCTTTCTCCCGCCTCAGCCAGAGACGGGGCCTTGTGAGAGGGTGAAAGATTGGCAGGAGCGGGGAGTGTAACTCATAAGAGGGGCAAGAGTGGGCTGACCTCACTCCCAGCCTTCAGCCTTCCCTGCTTCCTCTTAGATGGAGCGGGATGTGGGGCTCTCCTGAGTTCTTCTGGGTTCCCAAGAGTCCTGGCTCCCACCTCCTTGTTTTTCCCTTGAGGGCTCAGTGGGAGGCCCCAGCTAAAAGGCTGATTCCTGCCAGGGCTGCCAGCAAGCCGGGCCAGGTAGCAGTTAAGGACAATAAAAGCAATCAGGGAATTCTGGGGCTGCAGTGGCACGCAGACCTTCAGGGCATTTAGGGAAAGGAGATTAAGAAATCTTTTTCCAGATAAGAGAGCCCTGTAAGGAGGCCAAAGAAAGGGAAATACACCCCCCTTTGATCACAAGGGATTGTAATGACTCAGATATTGATTGGGATAATAAGTTTGCCAAAACTCTAGAGAAGGAGAGATATTCCTGCAGGTATTTTGCTTTTGCAGAATTTGCTGAGCTCTCCTGTGAAGTCAAAGTCAATTTGGAGGCCTAGGCCTGGCCCTGGAGCCCAAAAAATGGGAGTTGGAGGCCTTTTCTTTCTGGCAGGAGTTCATTGCAGGCCCGGCCTCACCACCCTCCCTCCAGGGGTTGTTAACACTATCATTATTAGCACGATCATTGCCATTATTAATAACCCTTGGGGCCTAATGGGGTTGAGAGTGCAGTGAGGAGAACTGAAGTCAGCCTCCAGAACAGCATAAGGCCCTCAGCCTGGATTCCAGAATCTTCTCCAGTAGTTTCCCTACCTCTCTTCTAGAAGCCCTCTCTTTCAAATTTCCTCTGTACCATACCCCCAACTTGTGCATGTGTGCATACATACACACACATACGCGTATACACATGTGTACATACCCTACCTATACTCCAGCCACCCTGATCTTCCCACAATTCTCACACATGCCCACCTGTCACACACAGTTGTGGAATTAGAGCTTTGGCTTCAGGGTCATGCAGACCTGAGTTCAAATCCTGCTCTGCCACTTACTAGCCCTGCAATCCTGAGCAAACCACTTCACCTTTCTCAGCCTCAGAGTCATTTGCAGAATGGGAATAATATTAGCACCTACCTCATCCCGCATACTTGTTGAGAGGATTAGATGAGATGATATAAAGCATTTTGCTCAATGCCTGCGTTATAAGAAATGCCTCATTTGAGTATTAGCTATTGCTTTTGTTATTCTACAGCCTTCCTCTGAGATTTTGCACGAATCATTGCTTCTGCAAAGTTTTCTCTCATCATAGTTGTGAACCAAGGCTCTTGTCAATCTTTCAGGCCTAGCCAAGATCTCAACTCTGTCCCTTCCAGAATCTTCTCCTTTTGCTTCCAGTTGTCTGTATCTCTTATAGCTCTTAATCACAGTTTGCTTTGAGTTCCGATTTTGGACTTGAGGAGGCCAGGGATTATATCTTCCTCTTTTTATCTTCCTTACTCCAATTCCAGAGTTTAGCACTCTACACACCTTTATATATAGTAAGTGTGCAATACATTTTTGATTTTTTGTAATAATAGATATCATTTACTGAGCAATTATTATGTGCCTTTCTTTTTGCATACATTATCACATTTAATCCTCGTAACAATACTGTCATGTAATTATCTACATGAAGCAATTAAAAAAGGATTTCTTTTTTATAGACATGGGAAATAAGACTCTGGAGAGATGAAATCATTTACTGGTCACATAGCTGATGAGTGGATGAGCTTTGCTCCAAACACAGGACTATCAGTTTCCAAAGACTGTGTATTATGTGCAACTAGGCTAAACCCAGCGCATCTTTCATTGGTCATATCCTAACTCCCAGGTAGGCTGCACACTCAGCAACTTCCAGCTCTTAGCATGCTGTGGTTCTATGAATGGGAAATAGCTACTGAGTAGCTTGGAAAGATTGTAATTCCATCCTGCTTGAGTCAAGAAATGCCCAGGGCAGCAGAGGCCAGCCTAGTTAAGCAGGGATGTAAATATTAGCACAGGCATTACGTGAAAGGTCTTTAAAGAATATAAACAGCCTGGCAAAAGGAGAAGATGGAGGATCCAAGGAGTCCAGCAACAGCCATAGCGTCAGAGGCACTTTGAAGAATATGGTGTGATGAAGTGCCAGGAGGACTTGCCTGTCAACGAAAGACTCTCTAATACATCTCAGCTGACAAAAAGCAGGAGAGAAGGTCAGTTCCAATAGAAAAAAATGCTGATGAGGAACTGAGATTGAGGAGATAGCAGAAACTTGGCATTAGAGTTCCACAAGTCCGGAAAGACAAGAGTGAAGGGGTACATGAAAATTAATGACTGATAATGCTAATAATAATAACATTGATTGATAAGGTGATTGCTATGTGCCCAGCACCATGCAGTGTAAGGAGGCGAGTAGCTGTGTAGCCATAACACCATAGACATGATTATTTCAGAACCCAAGTTCACTCCTTTTTCATCTTTCTTGACTGTTGATACTTAAGGGGACTCCCAACCTCATCTGATTCTTTCAACAAGCATTTATCTCATGTCTACTCTGTGCATGCCCTAGGATGTGCCCTGGGGAGATGGGTGAAACTTGTCCTCTAACCTGGAGGAACTCACAGTCTACTGGTGGACAAGGAACATACATATCTACAATGGAGTGGCATGTTTGTTATTAGAGATGTTTGTTATTATTAGTGTACAAGTGTTTTGGGAAATGGGAGGAAGATTTCAGAGAAGAGGTGGTATCTGAGTGGAGAATACTTTTAAGGATGGGTGGAGAGTGAGGGGAGCGCATTGTGAGCAGAGGCGACAGTTTCATAAAAGCTTGAGGCTGTGACAATATATGTTATGTTCAAAATGGCTAAACGGGGACCTCTGGATGTCTAGGATTGGGATATGTTAGAAGCTGCAGTAAGTAGAACCTGAAAGATATGGTGGGATAAAATAGTGAAAAATATTTCAAAGACATTGTTAAATCAATCATCATGTTTATTTATTGAGCATCTACTATGTGCTAAGTATGGAATCTGGCACTGGGACTACAATGTCAAGTAAACCAGAGTTGGTCTCTGCTTCACCCATAGGATGACCACATGTTCCAGTCTCCTTCTTTTCCTGGAATAATTATTAATAACATCTCCTTTTACTTTCAAAAGTGTTCCCATTTACACTGTAAGTTATATGATGATGCTACCTCAGAATTTCAGAAAGACAAACATTAATCAAACAATCACCCAATATGTAACTTCAAATTGTGCTAGATGTTATGAAAGAAAGATGCAGAGGGCTATTACAGCAAGCATTGGAAAGCAGCTTCATTCGCCACAGGAATTTAGCTTTCTCTGCAGGCAAAACAGACAGAAGGTTTTTAAGTTACAGATCAGATCTTAGTTTTAGAAGTCATGGCATTTCTGTGCTTGTTGAAGATTTCTCTCTCCTCTCTCTCTCTCTCTCTCTCTCTTTTTCAGAGTCTCGCTCTCTCACCTAGGCTGGAGTGCAGTGGTGTGATCTTGTCTCACTGCAGCCATCACCTCCTGGGCTCAAATAATCCTCCCGAGTAGCTGGGACTACAGGTTCCTGCCGCCATGTCCAGCTAATTTTTGTATATATTTTTTTAATAGAGATGGGGTTTTACATGTTGCCCAGGCTAGTCTCAAACTTCTGGGCTCAAGTGACCTGCCCACCTTGGCCTCCCAAAGTGCTGGGATTATAGACATGAGCAACTGTGTCTGGCCCCTCTCTCTTTCTCTTTAATGTCTCCTAGTTATTATCAATAAGAATTGGAGAAAATCCAATTTTCATTGTATAGACTTTCACAGTGTAAATGTACTTTTTTTCTTCAGAGTTGCAGAGTGAAAAGTTCAAAGCAAATATGTCAGCCAAAGCTCGCTTTCTGTCCTAGCTCTACCTAGAGCCAGCTGCCTGACCCTGGACAAGTTACTTCTCCTGAGCCTTGGTTTTCTCATCTTTTATTTTTATTTTTATTTATTTATTTTTTTTTAGAGATAGGGTCTCACTTTGTCACCTACGCTAAAGTGCAGTGGTGGGATCATAGCTCACTGCAGTGTCAAACTTTTGGGCTCAAGCGATCCTCCTGCTTCAGCATCCTGAGTCCCTGGGATTACAGGTGCGAGCCACCACTCCCAGTTCAGGTTTTCTCATCTTTAGGAAGGGAGGGTCATTCCCACCTGCAAGGGTGGCTGTGAGGACTGGAAATATGGTGAGTAAAGTGACTAGTACAGTGCTGGCCACATGGTAGGCATTCAAAAAACAGCACCTACTTTAGTTAGGGTTTTCTGAGCTTGTGATTGTCTCAGAATGGGTGCTATGACTGGTGGAGAAATGCATTTCATAGAAGACACACCACTGTCTACAACAGGGAAGAGAGTGGAGGTCAGTGGGCAAGGAAGGGAAGGGAAAGGGCTGCTGGTGTTTCCACCACTAGAAGGAAATTGGGTTGGAAAACAAACACCTGCCCTTTTTAGGTAGACTCTCCATGGCCCTTAAGAACCAGAACCTACAGACCTGGTGTGCTAAGCAGAGTAAGAAAGAGGCATCTAATGGTGTATGCACTGAAAATGCAGACCGCCTTGCATAACCAGGTCCTCCTGGGAACGTCTGGGAAAATCAGACAGTGAGGCTCCATCTTGCTTTTGTCTTCTCTTCCTCATTCCTCGGGCTTGTATATAACTCCCTCTGTGGGCAGAGGAAGGCCCCTGATAGAGGGATGCAGGCAGACACTGCACTGAGTGAGCCTGAGAAGACGGGGACAGAGCAGGCTGCATGGAGTTGGAGGGAGGAGGAACTAGGAGCCTCCGCCCAGTGGCTATTTTGGAGCTAGAAGTGCTGTGACCACTTCCGTCCAGGTCTGGCTTGTGTCCTGACTGGGAGACCAGGCTGCTGGAGTCTGCATCTCATTTTCTTTCTGATTTGCCTCTGGTGTTGTTCTACTGTGTGTTGGTTTTCGAGGGCTGCCATAACAAATGACCACATCCTGGATGACCGTTTGTTTTCTTACTGCTCTGGAGGCTAGACTCCAAAATCAAGGCGTTGTGAGGATTGTTTCTTCTGATGTCTCTCTCCTTGACTTGTAGATGGCCACACCCTCCCTCAGTCGTCACATGGTCTTTTCTCCGTGCATTCTTGTCTGTGTCCTAATCTCCTCCTTTTATAAATGCCCCTCATAATGGATTAGGGCTCACTCTCATGACCTCATGTCACATTAATTACCTCTGTAAAGACCCTGTCTCCAAATACAGTCAAATTCTGAGGTACAAGGTGTTAGGACTTCAACATATGAATTTTGCGGGGATGCAATTTAGTTCATAACAGACAGCTGGGCAAGTTGCATCTTTGGTCTTCATCCCTTAAGAGAGGAAAAGTGGCTTGGTTGGTCTACTGAGCCTCTTTCCTTGGAGAGGAGTTGAATCAGGAAGCTGCAAGCTTCTCAAAACAGTGCAAATCCCTCTCTAAACCCTCTTGGCTTTACCCAGAGCCAATGGGTAATCCACTGCCTGCTTTGGGGTTCCTGGATGCTTCCTCTTGCTTCCTCAAGCCTGATTTTAGGATCTGGGATCTGCTTTGCTTCTGGTGGAGAAATAGGTGTCTACTCTGAAATTACCTCCCCTTGGGACTGTTCAAATGTATTTCTCTTGTTTTTTGCAGACGTTCCTTTAACAGAAAAGCGCTCTCAGCCCTCAAAGATCCCATGCAGAGGACTCACCTACTGCAGGATAAGAGAGCCAAGTAAGTTGCCACACTTTTTCCATTCACCTCTTCCTTCCTCTGCAGAGAAAGGCAGGAGACCACACCTGTGTTTGTGATATTACAGACACGCTGAGATCCACAAATGTGTCATTAGCCCACCAGGCTGGCAGAGAACGGCTGCATCCGAAGGTGATTTAACACAGGTAGAACCCTGCTTACAGATGGGCGGGCTTCCAAAGATTTGCTTGTAGCTTAGTTATTATGAATTGGGAGTGTTTTCCTCTCACAGAAAAAGTGTTAAATGCAGGGGGAGGTTTTCAGGGAACTCCTGAAAAATCAATCTAACTCACAATAATTAAAATACGAAATATGATCATTTCTGTCCCCAACACCCAAATTTCATACATGCCATTGTTCCAGTGGGAAAATATATTGTGAGTTCCAACTGTGTGTATCAGGACCAGTGCTTCTCGCTCATCGGTGTAGCTCACCTGACAGTAGCTTCATGGAAAGAGGGTGTTTCTGTGAGGGAAAGAAGGATGATACTGGGCCAGATACTTCTGGACACCAGTAAAACAATAGGTAAAGAGTGTAAAATATTCACATTTTTAAAAGCAGGACCATATAGTTGATTACATTTAGGTCTCGTGGTAACCCTGCAAGGATAAGTATTATGATCTCCATTCTAGAGAAATGGAGTGTGAGACTCAGAGATGTCAAGAGACACTTCAGGCTCACACAGCAGAGACAGTTGCTGCCCTCAGAATGGAATGCATCTCACATCTGCATCTGACCTCTAGGTCAACCTCTCTTCAGCTTGGCTGTGGTAGGGAATTCAGTTTCTGGGTGTTAATGTGTCCAGCAATCCCAGCTAGTCTGTCTGGCAGGACACAGAAGCCCATTCTTCTCTAGGAATGACCATGACCCTGGGAAGGACTAGGACAGGGCAATTCGTGCTGCTGCTGTGTGAGGGCTGGGCAGAGGTTTGGAGGTGATAGCAGCCTGTGCAGACTGCAGAGTTTTTAGGATAAATGGTGATTTTCCTCCTTGGTGATTTCCCAAGGCCACTGAGGCCTGACAATTCTGGCAGGGAAACCAAATTTAAATGAGTCCCTTTTCATGTCTGCCTGAGGGGTAGACATTAGTCAGAGAGCTAACAACCTTTCCTGACTGTTTCCTGTGTTCTGGACACGGTATATGGGGGTTGTGAAGAAACACAGTCATTGTTCCAAAGGTATTTTGTACCTGGACAAAATAAAACAAACAGAGAAACAAATACACACAGGAAATGTCGAACAAGTTAGGGTAGATTCCTCCACCTGTGAAGTGAACTGCAGAGGGCGCCTGTGAGCATCATCAGTTAGGGGTGGGCTCACTCAGAAAAGGCTTCTGACTTGGCTATGAAAAGTGCTATAGAATGTGAGAATTGGAAAGGTGTTTCGATTTTTAGTTCAACCCCTATATTTTCTTTCCGATCAGAAAACTGAGGCCCAGGGAAGTTAGTGACTGGCCTATGAGTTTTTCTTTTTTCTTTTTCTTTTGAGACGAGGTTTCACTCTGTCACCCAGGCTACAGTGCAGTGGTTCAATCTAGGCTCACTGCAATTTCCACCCCCTGGGCTCAAGTGATCCTCTCACCTCAGTTCCCTAGGTACCCGGGACCACAGGTATACACCACGATGCCGGGAAATTTTTTTTTTTTTTTTTTTTGAAATGGAGTTTTGTTCTTGTTGCCCAGGCTGGAGTACAGTGGCGTGATCTTGGCTCACCACAACCTCTGCCTCCCGGGTTCAAACAATTCTCCTGCCTCAGCCTCCCAGGTAGTTGGGATTACAGGCACCGGACACCATGCCCAGATATATATATATATTTTTTGTATTTTTAGTAGAGACAGAGTTTCTCCATGTTGGTCATGCTGGTATCAAAATCCCGACCTCAGGTGATCCGCCTGCCTCGGCCTCCCAAAGTGCCGGGATTACAGGTGTGAACCACTGTGGCTGGCCTGCTAATTTTTTTTAAATTTTATTTTGTAGACACGGGGGCTTCCTATGTTGCCCAGGCTGGTTTCAGACTCCTGGGCTCAAGAAATCTGCCCCACTTGGACTCCCAAAGTGCTGGGATTATAGGCATGAGCCACTGTGCACAGGCCTGGCCTAAGGTTTTAAGCTAGTAAATGGGAGAGAGAGGATGAGAATTCAGGTTTCCTCACTCTGTGTCTAGTTGCTCATAATTACATTGGAAGGGGATGGGGAAAGAACCAATTAAAAAAGATGTCAGAGGAAGGAAGTGGAGATAGTGGATTTTACAGACAGGAGTCCATGTGGAGGAGAGGTAAGAAATTGGGTAAATAAGGGTGTGGGAACCAGGTGGCCAGAGGCCTTGAAGGTTGAGTGGATAAAATTTTTGTGTTTTTCCTGACTGACAATAAGGGACAGAGGGATAGAGAGACAGCCATGCTAACTCCCAGGGGCATCTTCTGCTGACATTGTTTGTATAATAAAAATGGTTATTCTGCAAACAGCCCATTTTAAATCAGATGCCCAGACTTTCGGCTTGTTGAATTCACCCAGTGTGGTAATCTGGGCCAGAAATTTTGACCTCTTTGCTCTATAAATATAATGTATATTTATATATTATAAATATAATGTATAAAATCCCAGACTTTGTGGACTCTTCCAGTCAAGCCTCTTGTTTCTTAGTCTGACTAGTGATAAGGATCTTTGCTGCACAGAATTGAATTCTCATTGGCCAAATCTCAGGCCTGCCTTCCCTTTCCCCACATATCTTGGGTAGGACCCCATAGGGCTCCTTAAAGAAGCAGCCTTGTGTGTGGATGCTGGATAGGGACAGAAAGGAAGTGAGAGGGCAAGGAGCCTGCTGGGGAGGCCATGAGGATACACGGCTTGCAGCCGATTCTCTGCTTGCTGCCATTGGTTTGTTGGTATTGCAGAAACATGGCTCCAGCACCAGGGGAGAATGTAAGGGTCAAGAACTGCAAATTGTAAACCACAGTGAAGTGAGATGAATCAATCTGCAGTGACCTAAGAGACAGGAGGAAAGCCTGCTAACAGGAGGCTTAGAAAAGGCTCCAGAATGTGCCGGGCTGCAGGAGACCATGGCCAGGCCAGCTCTGTCCACTTGGACAACCAGGCTTGGTCAGGTTTGATCACAGGGTTGTCAGGGAGCAGACCAGGCCAATTGGGACCAGATAGTATCTCCCCTGCAGTGCCTTAAGAGGTCAGGGTTCAAGATGGTTCCTTGGAGCAAGCCAGCTTTTCCACTGCCGTCACAGACCCTGGAGAGGAAAGCAGCACTTTTGTTTACATGGTTGTCATTCTTTTCTGATTTGTAGTATGTATTTGTTAAAGAAAATATAGAAAACCTACAGGAGAAAAGAGGATATTATCCACAATCATACCACCAAAGGTAATCACTGTTAATATTTTAGGGAATTTCCTTCCAATCTGTTTTTTTTTTTCCTGTGCATACATATCTTAAAATAAAATTAGAGTCATATTATATTTGCATTTTTATAGTTTCTTTTTTAATTTAATATTATATGATGAGCCTATTCCCATCCCTTTCATATTATTCTACAATATCTTTTCTTTAATAGTTTCACAGTATTCAATTTTGTGGATTTATATACATTTAGTTAATCTTTATAACTGTATATTTAGATTTCCTGCAGATTTGCACCATTGTAAACATTACTGCAATGAACATCTTTATATTGTAATAATCTTTGACCACATTTCTGATTGTTTCCTTAGGAGGCACTTTCCTAGAAGTGGAATCACTGTTTCAAAGGCTCTTGTTATATGCTGGTTAGTTGCTCCCCTCACCTCCCCCCACCTGAAGTGTTATATCAATTTACACTCTCATTAATCAGTGGCTATGACAGTGCCCATCTCACTGCACCTTTGCCAGCACTGTGAATTATTATATTCTTTTAAGTGGAAGGTTGCCTTTTCAGCATGATGCTCAGCTGACTGATAGCATAAGCTTTGAACGTGGCAGCTGATTTCTTTGTGCTTATTAGCAGAGCTTAGCAGATCTACATGTGAGAGCATTAGAAAACCTGGGGAGGAAAGAAGGCTGTATCTAATCCACAGGTAGCCATGTATACAGGGAGGGAGAGAGGAGACCTGTGTATGAGGTGGTACTTGATTCATCCTTCTCCAAAACTCATAGTGTATGAAGCTGCCAGGCAAAACCCCCCCTCCAAAAGCTCTTGCCCAGAAATGCTTCCTGACTGATCAGGAAATGAGAGAACAAAGCAAGCCTACACAAAGACGGGCTTAGTACTCTGGAAGGCCAGTGATGTGCAAAGCCCCTGACGCTAAGCAGAAATGAAAACGCTAATGGTGAGACACCCAAAGAAAATGTATTCCATATGCACAGGCCGGCCGGCTGCAAAGGAATACAAATGCAGTTAGGGATTAGCTGGCAGGAGCAAGAGCAGCCCGGATAACTTGGGAATTGTTTTCCAGCTTGCTTAGGCCAGTTGTAGCTAAAGATACTTGGGGCGCTGAATTTGACCTTTTTTTCTGACTCGGGCATCAGAGAAACTTATCAGTGTTGCAGTCCATTTTAAATAATCACAAAAGCCCCAATTTATTGGACAAGCCCTGTAGAGTTTCGGGTACCTAGTCTGCAGCCAGCACCCATGCTAGTGCTTTTATGCAACATATATACTCCCCAGAACAATTCCATGAAGTAGGAGTCATTATCCCTATTTCCTAGATGAGAAAATTGATGCACAGTGAGATTAAGTAACTTGCCCAATTCATCAAAATGGTGGAGACTGGATCTTAAATCAGACCTGTCTGGTCGCACTCTCTGTGTTCTTTGCACCACCAGGCTTTTGTAGGGCCTGATTTTGGACTGCTGCATTACAAGTGCTCCCCAGCCCTTCTGAGTCTTCTGCCTGCACTGGCTGATAAAAGGCAACAGGCTTCTTATTCTGTCCATCACATGCTGCTGTGCTAGTGGAGACACAGCAGAGATAAGAATGAGGCATCCTTAGGGTGGAAAGTGGCCAACAGATCTTGGTATGTACTTCCTTGTGGCTAGTGAGC